CTTTGAATACAACCATTTCCTCCAGTATACTAGCAGGGAAGAGGTGAGATGGAGTTCAGCCCAGGGCTGACTCCCCAGAGGGGAGAGAGAACAGAGAAGTCTCACTTTCTGGCCAAAAACAACACTGGATCCAGTTATTAAGAGCTTCGGATCATACCTTGCCCTACCTCCTAACCTTCCAAATGTTCCTGCAGGTGTCAATATGACAAACTCTCCTCCTGAAGGCTTTAGCCCTAAGATACAGGGACCCATGTGTGATCTGAGACCTAACCACTCCCTTGAAGCAGATGCATAAACTTGAGTGACAAACTTGATCTAATGTTTTCATTGTACCTAGATTACACTTAGGTATATTTGTTGAATTTGAAAATATTGCCAAAGCTGGGACACCTGGGTGGCTCAGCGGTTTAGCGCCTACCTTTGGCCCAGGGCCCGATCCTGGAGTCCTGGGTTCAAGTCCCACATTGGGCTCCCTTCATGGAGCCTGCTTCTCCCTCTGCCTGTGTCTCTGCCTCTCTCTCTCTCTCTCATGAATAAATAAATAAAATCTTAAAAAAAAAAAAAAAGAAAATATTGCCAAAGCCAAGAATGAAGGAATTCTCTATGTAATGACACAACAAAAAGTTTTTTTTTTTAAAGATTCCATTTATTTATTCACGATAGACATAGAGAGAGAGGCAGAGACACAGGCAGAGGGAGAAGCAGGCTCCATGCCAGGAGCCCGACATGGGACTCGATCCCGGGACTCCAGGATCGCACCCTGGGCCAAAGGCAGGAACCAAACTGCTGAGCCACCCAGGGATCCCAACAAAAAGATTTTTGAGATAAGACAGTATCCAAAGAGGAGCTGCACTCCAGTATGTATAGAATAAACCCATTAAAAACAAACAAACAAACAAACAAGGTTCCAAATATACTATCTGTATGCACTGGAAAAATCTGAGAAGCATACAGAACCAAAACTAATCAGTGATCATCTTTTTGTTTGAGGGTATTTACTCTAGCAATTTTGAAATGTTTAAGTTTTTAATTTCACTTCAGGAAATTCTTTTAAAATTGCCAGGTGAGATAAAATGGCCTCAATCTTCCAACATTAGCTCCAGGGAAGTATGCTTACAAAATATTATAGTGAAGATATTTTCGAAACAAAAAGCCACTTACAGTTCCAATTCAGTTACACTTCGTTTTCAAGTTCCCTTCTGATGCCTGTCCAGGAACACTACTGACTTACATGTGTAGATGTAATAGCAGCTGGGATTCAATTTTCTCTTAATGGACATCCAGGAGTCTTTATTGTTTTTGCCACAGTTAGTATGTGTCTCGTGGTTGGATATTAAGGGCCTTTCCAAATTATATTGTTATAAACATGAACTATGAACTCTTTTGAAATACACACAATTTGTTTTCTCTTGGTTTTATAAAAGATTTCCAGGAGTAGGATTCTTGGACCAAAACTTATACATTTCTATGACTCCTGATTGCCTTCCAAATGAACTACACTCACATTGCCACTAGTAGTATCTGAGCACCATTTTCTCTACACTTACTGTATAATTATCTTAATTATGTACCACATATTCATCCACTATATAATTATTTTTGTCATTATCGCATCTGGATGATGGTACATCACTGAGGTTTCATTTTGTATTTCTTTGATTACCACTGGCTCATTATTTTCTCTTGAGTGTATTTATATGCTAGAAGGAGAGTTTAGTAGCAATGATTTCAGCTTTGGAACCAGACTGCTCAGCTCAAAAACTGGGTATCATCACCCACCAACTCAGACTTCCATAAGCACTTCAAGCTTTGGCTGCTTTGGGGGGTAAAAATAATAAATAACAACAATAATACTAAGCAATTTGATTGGCTTAGGGTCACGTGCACCTTAGAGTTTTTATAAAGAATAAGTGAGCCAATCTGTCATACACTTACACTGCATTTAACACATGCGCACTTCATAAATGTTAGCAATTTGTTCATTATTATTATTTATATTTTCTCCTGTCTGGACATTGTTCAGATATTTAGCTCATCATGCCGAGAGGCTAACTTTTTTCAGACCTCCACAATCAGAAACTCTATTTCAAGTTTACTAACAAATACTCGAATGCACTCAATTTAATTCCACACCTAGCAGATATTATACAAAACAGAACAGTATTATATTTTGGGGTGGTGGGGGGGGCAGGGGGGAAGTACAATTATAAATAATGCATCTTCCTGATTTCAAGGAATCCACCCAATGCTTACTTGCTGAGCCTTTTCTGGGAAATTATAGGTGTGGTCAATATAGATAAAAACTATTTTCTGAACAATGCAACCATTGTAGTGCTGCAAGGAACAGGAGAGAGCGTCTAGCCTGACTGTCCAGAAACAACAGCTCTGATGGCCCCCTGGGAGTGGGGGAGGTTAACGGGGACTCATTCCTGGGATGGCCATGCTCCATTTGCAGCTACTACATCTGCTTCAGGCATTCTCCTGGTGAGCCAGGTGTTCTATTAATTAGCAGCAGTGTTAGAAATGAATCTTCCTGAGTCAATCAAATGACTTCGATTAACATAACATGGGGAAAGAGTAAACAAAGATTAGATCTGAGTATTCCACCTAAGTGGATGGAATAGGGGCATCTCTCTAAAGGACAAACAGGCCTAGCAAGTCAAACAGCCTAGGATGGTGCCTTAAGCATTCCTGGGTCCAGCCTCTGATCCCAGAAAATTTGTGATTCCTTGATTCCAACCCATGATGGGCTGAATCATGCTGCTACCCCCAAGTGAACCTTCTGTGGGAGATGGAGCCAGAGCCCCTCGACAGGGCAGAGGTGACTCAAGACTTGCTTTTTAACCCTCACCATCCCCTGCAAAGGGGAATGTAGCCCTCACCAATCTGCTTCCCCAAAAGACCCAACATGGTATAGAGGTAGATCTCTATCAACAGCATGGAGGTGGCTAGGGAACAAAAGAATGAAAACAAGGCCTATGTTGAAATGACTTAAAGCATTTACCTGTCCTGGAGCAGAGCACTGGCCACAACCCCTGGAAGTTTCTTTTTTCTTTCTTTTATTTTAAGCATTTGAAGTGGGTTATATAAAGGAAGTATAACGCACACATCTCAAGAGAAATATGACCCGCATACATTCTGTATTCATCACTTTCTAGAATATAAGTTCTAGTAACAATTTTATTTTCCATGAATGAATTATAGGATCACATCATGAGGTAGTTTTAAAGTTTACAAGGAAATCTAGTTCTCAAATTGCCATAGGGGGAGGGCAACAATTTGACTCCGTTTTTAGCAATAGGCTTTTCAATTTTTTAGTACAAATGCCAAGAGTAAAAGCTTTGGGTAAGTCCTATTAGTATATGTATATTTCTTTAAAAATTATATGTACTTGTGGAGGGGGTTAGGGGACCGGGTAACTGGGTGATGGACGTTCAGGAGGGCACGTGATATAATGAGCACTAGGTGTTACATAAGACTGATGAGGGACACATGGATGGCACAGTGGTTGAGCATTTGCCTTTGGCTCTGGTCGTGATCCTGGGATCAAGTCCCACATCAGGCTCCCCGCAGGAAGTCTATTTCTCCCTCTGCCTCTCTCTGTGTGTCTCTCATGAATAAATAAATAAAATCTTAAAAAAAATAAGATTGATGAATCACTGAACTATATCTCTAAAACTAATAATACATTATACGTTAATTAATTGAATTTAAATAAATTTAAAAATTATATGTACTACTGTACTAATAAATTATGTACATTATAAAACAAAAAGATGGGGAAAAAAGGAAATAAAGCCTATTAGTTTAATTACTTATGGTGCAAATACAAAACAGTTATTAATATTTGTAATGAAAGCACTAGATTAAATATGCTTTACTATTTTTTTTTTTGAAGATTTTACTTATTTGAGAGCCCAAGCAGGGGGAAGGGCAGAGGGAGAGGGAGAAGCAAACTCAATACCAGGACCGTGAGATCATGACCTGAGCCAAAGGCAGACCTAAACCCATTGAGCCACGCAGGCACCTTTTATTTTTTGAAAACTCCTGGTTAGGGACAGCTGGGTGGCTCAGCGGTTGAGCACCTGCGTTCGGCCCAGGGCATGATCCAGGGCATGATCCTGGGGTCCCGGGGATCCAGTCCCACATCGGGCTCCCTGCAGGGAGCCTGCTTCTCCCTCTGCCTGTGTCTCTGCCTCTCTGTGACTCTCATGAATAAATAAATAAAATCTTAAAAAAAAAAAAAAGAAAAAAGAAAAAAACCTAGTTAATTATCCTGTTCTAGAGCACTGTGAAGGGCAGCTTCCAAGTTTCCTGTATCCTTTAACATCTTGTTTTAATGGCTGTCTGGGGTGACAAGGATACACTGAGAAAACAGTACAATACTGGGCTCTGCTATCTAAATTGATACTTAGTTTTCAATCTGTCCACCACTTACACAAAGATTTTTTGGGTGAAATTCAGCTGGTAGTTCTCAATCAATTTTCCATGCACACTAGGCAGTAAGGTGCCACATTTTCATAAATCTAACAAATGGGGGATCCCTGGTGGCGCAGCGGTTTAGCGCCTGCCTTTGGCCCAGGGCGCGATCCTGGAGACCCGGGATTGAATCCCACGTCGGGCTCCTGGTGCATGGAGCCTGCTTCTCCCTCTGCCTGTGTCTCTGCCTCTCTCTCTCTCTCTCTCTCTCTCTCTCTCTATCATAAATAAATAAAAATTAAAAAAAAAAAATCTAACAAATGGATTCAAAACCCATTGATACTCTTCACTTAAAAGATTTTGTCCAACAATCCTTGTTCTAATCCTTGTTCCCTTCTTAAAGGTTTCCGGTTTTTTAAGAGTTTTGATCAGTCACAGATCTATCATATTTCTTGGCAACATGATTACAGCGAAAACATTTCCAAACAGCTGTTTCCAAAATGCGTCTCTGTAGCATAAATTCTTCTGAAAAGCAGTCACATCCCCCACCACCACCACCACCGTGAAAATGTCACAGTTACCTTGGATTGTTCCTTGGTGTACTCCTTTACTCCAGCATCTTGCTGGGATCATCAACCTGGAAGCTTTCCAAATAGTGTTGATCAAGAGTTTCTATAACCCAATCTCTCGGCATGCCCCTCCCAGCTTCCCAGAGGATAGCAGGTGGGGCTGAAAGCTCCAGCCTTCTAATTACTGGTTCTTTCCGGTGACTACCCCATCCTGAGGCTACCTAGGGCCCCCCTACACACACAAACCTCAGCCACCTCATTAGCATAAACAGGTGGGGAAAAGAGCTCCTTACACGAATAACAGAAGACATTCCTATCATCCCAATCCCTCAGGAAATTCCCAGGGCTTCAGAACTCTGGGTCAGGAACCAGGGACACAGACCAAACACATTTCTTACTCTACCAGGGCTGAGCATAATAATGGTAACCGACAGCAATCATAATCCTTTCCAAGGAACCTACCAGTGTTTGGCACTAGAAAATGCTTCATAAGTATTGGTGGATGGAAGTAGCTAAGTTCACTTACCCACCAAACTCAGCAGATGGTTCTGCCAACTTTGAGGCACCTCACCCATCCTCTCCCCCCACCCTTTCCATCCAAGCCCAATCTCCCCACCTGTGTAACGGAATCCAGTCTCTTTTGCCTCCTCTGAAACCAGGCTCAGTCACGTATTCCTCACTTCCCCCTGTTTTCGCTTCTCCTTCTTTACCAGAAACTCGCCAGCACCGTCAGACTTTGCTCAAGTTCTCCAATCTCAAATGGAAAAGGAGAGAAGGAGAAAAAGAGACAGAAAGGAAGAAAAGGAAACCAGAGATCCCACATTTCCTGCCTGTCTTGCATGTCTATTTGGTCTCTTGGTAGCCGTTACCAGCTGTTTCTCCTCTTCCACACACAGTGGTCTCTGGGCCAACCTCCTTCTCTTCTCACCCCCAACCCCACTCCTCCTCAGATGATCTTTTGTGTATGCCATGATTATTTACATGTGACCGCTCCCAACATGTACTTCTTCCACCCAATTTCTTTCAAGAGTTCCAGATGCCATTCCTTGTCTCTACTTGGACTTGGACGTCTCACGAGCAAAACCTATCCAAGTGGCTCACCTTCCCTCCCCCATCTCAAGCCTACCCCCTGCTCCTCCAGGGTTCTCTAACACCATAAATGGTTTCACCACTCCACCCACTCAGTTATTTATGCCAGAAACTTTCAAAACATCCTTGATATCTCCCTGTCCATCAACCACATCCCAATAATCACCACTTTCAGACTGACTTCAGCTGCAAATTCAATCTTCCTCTCTTTCTCTCTCCCTCTCCCTCCTCCACCCAACCCCTCCGTCTTTGGCTTCTATTCAGCATCACTGCACCATCCCTAGGTGATAGCAAATACCTTTGTACTCTGCCCCCATACCCCATCTTGCCCCTGTCCAGGGTATGTGTGCAAAGCAGCAGGCTTCAGGGCCTGAGCCCTTTGGCATGGCCTCGCTAGGACAAAGTAGTGCATCTTTTCTAACTGGTCCACCCAGAAGGGGAGTTCTTTTCCAGTCTGCATGAAGGTATCTTAGATACCAGCATGGCCTAACCCTGCAAACCAGTCTCCACACAACAGTAATGATGACCTTTTCAAAACCCAAACTTAGTCAATCATCTCATCTCCCATTTAACATCCTTCAAAAGGTTCCCATTACCTTTCCATTAAAGCCCAAAGTCCTGAAAATGACCTGAGAGGCCTTCCCCCTAAAACTATATTCTCAACCCTTTCAACATAGAACTCATGTTGGAATTCACCTGATTATTTCCTATTCATTTTTCAGGCCTTATTTTAAATATCACTTCCTGGGGACACCTACCCTGAGTAATCCCCTCCCCTAGTTGAGGTCCTCAGGTTAAATGCTCTCTGGACATCTTGTACTCTTCTGGAGTACCACTTATGACTGGGACAGCCTTTGGGACTATGTGCTTGTCCATCTCCACCCCCTCCTCTAGCCACTAGGCTAGAAGGCTCAAAAAGGCAAGGACCCTCCATCCTTCATAGCTGTAGCGCCAGGGCTGACAATGACTGTCATTCATTTACAGATGCTCAGTAAGTGGTCGTTCAATGAATGTCTGAAGAAAACAGGTTGCTCAGGTACCCAGGCCCCTCATACACAATCTGGCTAACTCTTTAGCATAAGAAAAATTATTTATGGGAGAATTTCTTTTTTATTCATGGGAATAAATTTATTTTTATTTTTATTATATTTTAAAATTTCTTTAAAAAAAATTTTTTTTTTTAGTTTTCTCCTGATGTGGGACTCAATCCCAGGACCCTGGGATCACGACGTGAGCCAAAGGCAGGTGCTCAACTGCTGAGCCACCCAGGCATCCCTATTTTCATCTTCTGATATGAATTATATTGTTTATTACGTAGGGCTCTCTTACATAAAATTGGAATTTCTCATACAACAGAAAGATAAGGTTGTCTTAGTCATTGCTGTTAGCTAAAAGCTTTTTATGTTTCTTACAACTAAATTCTCCTCTGAACATGATCTACAGTGAGTCTCATTGTTAAAATTTCTGCTTAGAATTTTTGCTTGGAGTTCTAGTAGAGATTTCTGTGCCAATTTCTCCAAATCAGTAAGCATGGTTCATTGATATTTTATCACCTTAAAAAAATTAAAAGACATCAAGTAAATTAAAAGGTAAAAAATGGGGGTGCCTGGGTGGCATAGTCGGTTAAGCATCTGACTCTTGATTTCAGCTCAGGTCATGATCTCAGGGTCTGGGAACCAGCCCTGCATTTGGCTCGCTGCTCAGTGGGATTTCTTTGGAGATTCCCTTTTCCTCTACCCCTCTCCCAGTGTGTACTCTCTCTCTTAAATAAAAATAAATCAATCTTAAAAAAAAATGAAATAAAAGGAGGAAAATAAAAACCACCATGGAATTCCTTTTTAGCTTATGCTAGTTTGAACTTCAGAAATTTAACAATCACGTCAAATGCTTGAAATTTCCTTGGAGATAAATCCTGGCAAGACACATGTGGCTGTTCATGACGAACACTGGTTTAGTCACCTTTATTATAAAAATATTTTAAAATGTAGATGTTTCTGTAAACATTACAAATGACTTCTAGACATTAAAAGTTTAAAAGCTAATTGTATATACAGTTTTAGTTCATAAACTTCCAGAGCATTTTCAATGTTGGCTCATTCTCCTCAACCAGGTGACTTTATCCTCCAGAGAACATGTGGCAACATCTGGAGACCTCTGGGTTGTTGTAACTGTAGGGAGTACACTACTGGCATCCACCACGCTGCTACACAACCCACAACACACAGGACAATTTTCACAATAAAAGCTTAACTGGTCAAAAATGTCAAATTTGAGAAATGCTGGCTTAAACATACATAGCATTTTGCCACAGATGGGCGACAAAGAAACAGGACAACCCTCTCCCATGCACTGGTGTGAAAGTCAATGTGGTTAAGAACACAGGCCCCATGAGAAACACACGTGATTTATATGAACAGTCATTTGGGAACTCCTCTTTTAAGTTAGGAAGTTGGGCTTTTGACATCCTGAACCAGAACCATGAATAAATTTTCACTTGAATGATCACTAGCAACAGTGACACAATTCCTCCGTTGGCCCATAAGAGACGGCTTTGCTTTGCTCTGTGCAGTCGAAGTACTCCGTATGTGACAGAGAACAGGAATTGAGAATCAGAAGAAATACCTTCAAACAGCCTTAATCTCGGTTTCCCACCACCACATTTCATGACAAATGCACAATATCTACATCTTGGTCAGAATTTTTCATTCCCCCCCGAGAATGCAATCACCAGGTGTAGCAGATCTGAAAATGAATGATGCATGAACCAAATTGGACAGACTCTTGTGTTTTAAAAAAGAAAAAAAAGGGATCCCTGGGTGGCGCAGCGGTTTGGCGCCTGCCTTTGGCCCAGGGCGCGATCCTGGAGACCCGGGATCGAATCCCATATCGGGCTCCTGGTGCATGGAGCCTGCTTCTCCTCTGCCTCTGTCTCTGCTCTCTCTCTCTCTCTCTCTGTGACTATCATAAATAAATAAATTGAAAAAAAAAATTAAAAAAAAAGAAAAAAAAGAGTCAATATTTAAATCAGATTTTACTTAAAAAAAAAAAAATGAAGATTTTTCAGCTATTTAAGGGAGGGGAGAAGGATCTAGCCACACTGAGCCAGAATCCCTGCATGGGTGTGAGGAGGGGATGGCCGATACCCACACAGATTGTTTCAGCAGGTCTTCTGTAGGTAACCTGTGCCAGACCAAGACCCGGTTAGGTCCCCCATCCATTACCTATTCAGTCCCTGTAACAGCTGATTTTATAATTCTCAGGGGCAACATTTTTCTCAGTGTTAAGCAACTAAGTTACAAATGGAAAAAACCAACCTGTGGCTGGAAGTTGTCTTATAATCAGTCAGGGACAAATTATAATGAATGAAGGATGAAATCCATTAGAGATTTGAGGCCTAGGCTAAGGAGGTCCTTCCCAGAGCCAGTGAAGGAGAGACAGAGGAGCTATCGGCAACCGCCAAATCCTTACCACGAAATAGAAAAGATATCAACTTCTTCCATCTACCAATAAAACTTTGTAAATTTACAGTATGTTACGTTGTTTTTAAAAATTGAGGAGTTAGCCATTTCTAAGAACTCATATCCCAAAACTACCATCTTGAAGGGCTGCAAAGAAATCCATGAAGCACTAGCAGATATCCACAGAGCTCAGTGTTTTTCTTTTTTGCCAGAAGTGAAATCTGTTACCATATCCTCTGGCAGGGGAGCCTGTCTGGAACTGCCTGGGCTCCTAGCAGGTAATTTACACTGATCTTTAAAAACCATTCACCCCTCCTCCTCTCCTCTATAAAACAAATCTGCCTTTCAGAACAGCTCTGAAAGGGGGACCGAATGCCCAGAGCAGGGGACAAATCCCTGACCGGGTGCCTTCACCTACCACTCACCAAATTCAGGCCACAGAAACCTGTAGCCTGTTCTCAAGTCAAGGAACCGATGCTTTCCGAGAACCTCGTACATCCCTCCCGCTGGGCCTCTCTCTTCCTTCTGGAAAGAAGTCAAGCAAAGGATGCAACAGTCGCCAGGTCGCTACAAAACTTACCTACACCTGGGCAGCCCAAAAGGCCCAGCCCGGGTCCGCAGGCGACCTCATCCACCGTGAGAAAGCCGTGTGTGGCCCGCGAGGGTGCCTGGCAACTCGCTCTGCATCGGCAGAAAGCGCTGCAAGAAAAAGAGCTGTGAGCCAGGGCTGCTTCCACTTCAAAACGCTAACAAGCAAAAATTGTTCGAATTTGAGGCAGAAGGTCGGTGCTGACAAAAAACAAAACAAGGAACCTAGAAAGGGGGCAGAGTGTGTTTCAGAATCACCTGTTTCCTAACAGACCCAGCCGCGTGAGCTTCCTACCCCGCGGGGTAGGACCGAGAGGGAGCGGGAGAGGGGGAAGCTTCCGTGTCCCTTTCCAGTGGCCTGCCCCAGGGCGAGTCCGCTCTCATCCCGGCGTGTCAGCTTCTTCATCAGTGCAGTGGGGTTCATCATGCCCCTGCGCAGGCTACGGGCAGGATTAAATGAAGTTCCAGGGCTGGCGCCCCAGGGACGGCAGAGAGGGACTAAGTGCCCGCTCTTCAGCCGATCCACGCCCGCAGCCAGCTCCCCCGGTGTCTCCGCTCCTACTCGCTACCCGGACCCGGCGGAAAGAAGCCAGGAAAAAGTGGCTTCCAGGTGACACAGCGCACCGGAGTACCGGCTTCGGGCTCCACGGGTCGCACGAGTCGCCAGGCCCAGGGAAGGGTCCGAGAGCGCACACGCGCGCCGCGCTCCCTCCGGCCCCGGCTCCGCTTCCTCGGCTCCGGCGGAGCCCAGTCCGCGCGGGGCAGCGGGACCTTGGCTGAGATCCGGCCCCCTCCCTCGCATCCTTCCCACCCCTCCGGCCGCCACCGGGCGCCCTGGCAGGCGGTCCTGGCTGCCGGGACCGGGAGGGCTGGACGAGTCGGTTACCTGCAGCAAGCCTCCGGCCGCCCGGGGCGCAGGAAAGTGCGCGAGCGCGCCGCCCCGCAAACCACAGCGCGCTCGCCGGGCGCCGCGCTCCCTGCGCTGGCGGAACGCGCCTCGGGGCTCCCGGACGCCCGCCCGGCCCGGCCCGCCCTGCCCCGCCCCGCCCGGCCTGGCCCCGCCCCAGCATCCCGCCCCGCCCGGCCTGGCCCCGCCCTCCCGGCCCCGCCCCCAGCATCCCGCCCCGCCCGGCCTGGCCCCGCCCCCAGCATCCCGCCCGGCCCCGCCCCCAGCATCCCGCCCGGCCCCGCCCCCAGCATCCCCGCTCGCCCCCCTCCGCCGGAGGCGAGCCCTCGGGGCCTCACCGCCGGGTGGGCGGGGAGCGGGCGTCCCCGCGCTTCCTCTGTGCGCTTCCTCAGGTTCGCCCCGGGCTTTAGTTCCCCAAATTGCACAAGGGCTGGGGGGAGGGAGTAGGGTCTTCTTCACAATTCTTTGCCCTTTGCTGCGGAGGCGGGAAACGCGACGAGCGCAGCCTTTTTCTGATTTTAAGAATGTTTAATAAGAAAAGAAAAATGCAAATGCCGAGGTTCTTTATATGATGACAAGTGTAGAGATGACCATGCAGTTTTATGTTCCCCTGATGAGGCTTTTTGTTAAATGTAGTATTTAAAAACTCACTGCATTCGTGTGGGTTTTCACATAAAAACCGAAGGCCAGCGATTGCGAAACAATCCGCAGTGCCCGGCAAAGTCGAAAACACCTCTTTCCCTACCTTGTAGCGCGTCGTGCGGTGTCACTTATAAAAGCTGACATGGTGTCCTTGGTAGCGAGAGGAATCGCGGGTGTTCTTCCCTCGGACTTCTACCTCCTGGAGAGAAGAACAGGTTCTTACTCGTCTTCACAGCATGTACCCATTGAAGTCAACGAAGGATGGAAGTGCATACACACTTCCCCACCCCCAGGTCTTGCTGAAGCCGTAGGGCCAATCTAAGACCCTCTGAGTAGGTAGGTTTCCCTGCATCCCGAGGCTTGCCTGGTGACCTTCATCCTTAGGGAAAGGTCACTGCTCAGGGGAGAAGCTTCCACGCGGCGAGCAGGGTCAGGTTGGCCTAGAGTCAACCAGTCTCCAAGGTTCATCCTCTAGGGTTTAGGACCTGATCAGCTTAGATACTCCTGGGGGCCGGCGGGGCTGGAGGGGAGAGGTGGAGCGGGGTGGGAGGGTGCACGCACAGCAGTACCTTATAAGTGGAACATAAATTAGCATATTGGTTTCTTGTCAACCCACCTCTTTTGTGAAGACCCCAGCTTTCTCTTCAAGGCTTTGAAATATTTTGGGAGGATTGCTCTGGACTCTTCAGTCCCCTCCCACCCCACCCTTGGGCCAGAGTGTTACTAGGTGAAGCAGTCCCATGTAAGCCAGCTGTAGTGATGGTGGCAGAGGAGCTAATGAAACATTCCCCGGTGGAAGGTAAATCTTGTCTCTTCCCCCAAGGAGATCCCTCCTCTATGGAGTGACAATCTTGGAAAATATTGCTTTAATTTTATTTTAAAAAGTAATTTTCTGGGGCACCTGGCTGGCTCAGTCAGTAGCACATGTAACTTAACTCTTGATCTCTGATCATGAGTC